CCGGATGGTGTAAGGGAAGAAATGAAAAAATATGTTGATGAAAAAAGGGAGCTAAAACATCGGGCTTTATTTCAACGGAATGTGACTAATATTGATGATTAGTACTATCTCTGATCAGCTAGCAACGGTGTTTGGTGAGTCCTCGTCTTTTCGAGGAAACCCCTGTTTGTTCGTATTGTTTCATCACAAATGCTGAACGAATTAAAGCTTTTGACTATCAAAAAGTCTCTTCCTAACTTAGGAGTCGTTTAGTAAGAAGAACTTAGCCAGTTATCTAGATATAAAATTTAAAACTAAATATATCATGAACTTAGTTGAGGGTATAATTAAAATCAAGATAAATTATGTATTACCATCATAAAATTATTTAATCTCATATAGAAATTAAAATAAATAATCATAATTATCATCTCAAGTTATAATCTTGATTTTGAATCAAACCAGGTAGATTTAATTTTCCTTTCCACCTTCACTATTCAAAAAAAACAATCAAATTACTATTATATTCCATAATCCATCAAAAAAATAGTTTGTTCATACTATTTAATTTACAAAAATTAGAGAAACGATTAAAAGTTGATAAAAAAAAATTCTTCCTAATCATTTAGTTAAAAGGATTAACTGATTATTCCATTATAAATTTACAATTAAATATGTCCTGCATTTAGTAGATGATATAACTAAAATTAGGATAAATTTTATATGACAATCATCTTATATATCTCATATAGAAAGTTATAATTTCAAATTATAATTATGATTTTGAACCTAACAACTTACTAGATCTAGTCTTCCTTTTCCACATTTACGATTTCTTTTTAAAATAAATAAATTAAAAGTGTAAATATTGACAGGGACATGAAAATTTATAAAGTTTATCTTAAATCTTAATTACCCTTCTTAACTTGAATATTTATTACTCCCTCCGGTCTATTTTATGTGAGTTAGTTTGACTCGACATAGAGTTTAAGAAAGAAATGAAGACTTTTAAAACTTGTGGTTCAAAATGATGATAGAAATTTGTGTGGCTGTAAATCTTTTCATTAAATAGACATTTTATAGTTTAATTGTTACTTAATATAGAAATGTGTAGATTTTTTTGGG